AATAGTTATTTGAAGGTCAAAAAAATCTCATATTTGATCCAGCTCAATGTAGACAAACTACACTAGTAAATTCATCTATGACCAAGACAAATCACTTAGTGAATTTACTATAGTTTAAACATAAACAAATGTCCAACTTTATTTATCAATTATGAACTTCATTTATTTAATCATAACATAATTTCTATTTATGCTTTCTGTGATTGTTTGTAAAAATCACATAAATACATATATAATGATTAAACGGACATTTGTTCAATAATTTTTATGCACACAATATAGAATGAATACCTCAATAGTTTTATTAACATCAGAAAATTGTTACAAAATATGTTTTGAAGAGCACATAATCCCAACATCAACAACCTATCATCATCACCAACTGCTCCAAAAAACGAGCGAGCTTTATGGGATTTGTATCATGAAGGAGAACTGTCTCCTCTTCAAGGACGTGACACATGGAGATCTAAGCCTCCACTAGCTACACATGGATCGATCGGGGACTCGATCTTACGGGCCGATCTCAACAGATAATCGGGGACTCAATCTCACAAGCCGACCTCAGTAGACGATCAAGTAGTTACAACAATACGACAAAACAATCCTCAGTAGCCGACTCCTACCGACTATGGAATCGACTAAAGAGTGGGGGGCTTAGTGTTGAGGTCAAATTTCGTATGTCACCTCTCTTTGTACATGTGGCAACTTAGGTTTCGGAAGGTCACTAGACGAGTCACTACGACTCTTCAGACAGGTTAATAAAACTCATCGATCGGTCAACTTCACAGGTCAATCCCACTAGTCGATACACAGCCTTGGGCATCAAGTCACAAGAAGAATATCATTAATACATTCCTTATACAGAATTTGGCAACAGAATCACCCAGGAAAGGAAAGAAATCATCTGCTCAAGCTAAAGAAATTAAAGAGGAAAAAGGTCAACAGTTGACTTAAGTTGCAAGTAACTTTCTCATTGGACGAAATTGATTGCCTTCCATATAATGAAGCTATATCTCCAGCAACCGCGCAATAAAGAGGCCGGATCAACTCCTAAAAAGCAATAAACCACGTTTGACCAGTCAAGGAGAAAGAGAACTTGTTAAGAAAAGTCAAATAACACCTAAAAAAGAAATAAAGATCACGAATTGAAGGCCAAATTACTCAAGAAAACAGGAAACAACTCGTGACAGCTCATCAACTATAAATACAAGATTTAGACATCCTCAGGGGGACACACACACTTTCTCCAGCACGCTAAAGCATTTACACTCATTTATAGCATATTTTCCCAATATTTTCTGTATGTCCCAGCATTCTCTGTCTCCCTTATCTCGTTATTCTCTCATTGACTCATTGTAACATTTTTCAACATTCATAGTGAAACCAATGAAGCCCTACAGTGGACGTTTCTTGAATTACTGAGGGAATCACTATAAATTTTCTATATCTTTTTAGTGCTTTTCTTTATTTTCACATTTACTAACGCTCTCATTCTCGCAGCGGATTAATTTTACTAATCGACGACTTCTAATTCGACCATTGGCCATTAATTTCTCTACTTGTGTCACGACCCCAAGGATAGGGCCGTGATTATTGGGGTTTAATTTAAAATTTAACTTAATTAAGCTGGACTATTTAACAAAAATCACAGAAATAAATACATAAATATCAATATAGTTTGCTCCGGAGACTTTCTTTTAGAAATAATATTTAAAACAGTCCATAAAGTCCAAGGAAAATAAAACAACTCTGAGACAATATCAACCAATACAGTTTATATACAGAAATACAGTACATCTTAGAATTAAAACTGTAAATCCGAAACGAACGTACCGCTTCGAATCTCGCGCCTTCAATCCATTAGAATCCACTTGTCACGCTTTAAATCTAAACCGCTAACTCTGGAGGAGGGGTTTAAAACATTGAAAACATAATAAAAGTGAGCGGAATACCCAGTAGGATATAATTTTATAAAACATTATAAATAAAAGTACTCACGGTTCGAAAACATACACCCGGAACTGATCATACAATTTTATAAAACATTGTAAATAAAGATACTCACGGTCTGAAGACATACACCCAGATCCGATCATCATTTTTTTAAAATAAAGGAAATACTCACATAGTAGTGGTAAAATATATGTATAATGAAAATATGCATAACCATAACACCACCGAGCAAGAAGTGGTAAAATGTCTCTATAATGAAAATGTGCGGAGCCATAACACCATTGAGCAAGAAGTGGTAAAATGTCTGTATAATTAAAATGTGCAGAGCCATAACACCACTGAGCAAGAAGTGGATCCGTACGGGTTTTGAATCCTGCACCCAACGATACGATTCTCATATCATGATCTCTGAGGTCACACTGCATTTTATCATTTCTTAAAATATTTCATTTTAAGAAATGATACTTTTAAAAATCTCATTTCTAAAAATCATTAGAAAGTCAACAACATTATTCATACTATTCCTTTAAAATCACTTTCTTTCAACATGTTTTGTTCTAAAACATTTTCATTAGTCAAAATCATTTAAAGTAAGGCTAACAAGGATATAGACAAGAATATCCTACATCTTGGCAATTTAATCTACAAATAACTTTACGTTTTTCAACCGTCTATTCTTGAAGCTCTACGGCTCGCTCTGAACCTCAACTTAATTCACCTCGATTTACGTGAACAGTTTGGTAGACTTTTCAACGAAGACGAATTAACGCAAACGGAGGTCACCGTTGCGTTCAGCATGTCAAAACGGATATGGTCTCAGATCTTCGATCGGACTCAGGAACCTCAAGAACTGAGACACGCCGGAATCCGGCCACCGGCGCGCATCAGCGGCGGCGGAGGTTGCCGGAGCATATTTCCACGGCGGACTTGGGTCCTACCCCCACTAAATCAACCATTCTGAGTTCAATGGTGCCATCAATTTCACCAAATTCGGCCTCTATCTACTCCGATCAAACCCAAAAACGTCGGCAAAATCTGGCGACTTGGTTCTCGATTCTCCGGCAATGGAACCTTAAAATTGGCTGAGGGCTTTTGCTACCCACTTCCTTCTGAGTGTTTTGACTCCACAATCATGACGATCCAATGGTTGGATCATCGGAACCACCCTCCACCCAAACGGCGGCGGCGTCGAGCTCCGATCTCGGGCAAACGGCGGCGGATTCGGGCGGCTGAGGGTTGCTTCTTGCTCTACGTCGTCATCTGAGTCCAATGGCACCGGCGGTGTCAAAAAAGGAGGCCGGAATAGTGCACAATGGAGAGGAGGCGTGGCGGCCGAAATGGGCGGCTCCTGCGACGGCGTTCCGGCGAGAATCGACGGGTGAGACAGCATTGGTTTTGTTCGTCTCGTCGAGCTGAGTCCATAGCGACCGGAATCACTCCGATCGGAGGTCGGACGGCAAAGTTACGACGGCAAGAAGTTCCGGTGGTTTTCGGACATTTCGCCGGCGATTGCGGCTGTTTCCGGCGGAGATGGAGGTCGTGCGGCATGTCAATGAGTCCAGCTCGTCGAGAACTTTCCGATGGTGTCGGTGGTGTCGCGAAATGACACCGAAATCTCACCGGCGGTAGGTGGCCGGCGTGGAGAGAGAGTGTCAACGTGGGAGAGAGAGTAAGAGAGAAAAAGGAGAAAAAAGAAAGAAAATGGGAAAAAAAAGGAAAATAGACTTTGTTTTCTGTCTAAATTTGATAATTAAATTTTAAAGTTTAATTTAAATAAAATATAGAATAATTCATTATTTCTATTCTGGAAAATTAACTATGGATACTTAAAACTGTTCGAGAGATAACAGTGTCAATTTTAAAATAATTATTTTTTAAAAAAAATAATTTTTTACATGATAATTATAATTAAAATTATTTTATTAATATTAGATTAATTAATACTAATTATTTATTAATGTTCTCATTGTTACGACAGATTAATTTTACTAATCGACGACTTCTAATTCAATCATTGGACATTAATTTCTCTACGTGTAGATTTTACCCTCTACAATTCTTATATATCACTTATGCACACAAGATATAATGAAATACCACAATAATTTTATTAACATAAGAAAATTAAGGTCAAGACAAATACCAGTTTAGTGATGTCAAATCCCATTATGATTGTCGTCTAACCACGAAGAGCAGTGAAAGGTTGCCTTTCCGTCTTGAATAAATGCTCAGCATAAATTCTTTACGTCCCAGAAGTTATGATAAACTGATTCCATGTAATTATATTTCTGCGGAATATTCTTCTAAATAAGCAAACGAAAAGGCCTTTGCATCGTGCCGATCAATCCGTTCGTTTTAGTGTTCGTCATAGCAAATCGAAGAATATTAGAAATATGTAGGATTTATTCGTTCTTTTGTTTTAATCTATTTTGCGGTTTGAACATTTTTAAAATCAATAAATAATATGTCCACTTTGATATGAATTCATAATAGTATTATTAGAAGATCAGGACATATTTACTTCATATACTTAAAATTAAATTCTTAATTTTATTACAGTATTTTTCAATAACAAAATTAGGATTACGTTAAATTGAAAGTGAATCACTTTAAATCTCAATGTTCTATTTTATTTTCTTACTTTAATTACGTCATATCTATATTAATTCTGACGTGATTTGCATTTATTAGATGGAAGATTTATTAATACCTTGTTGACGAATTTTTACCATCACAGGAAAAGAATTCTTCCCTTGTAATTCACCTTTTTCGTTTTAGTGGATTTTAACCAAATTAAAGCACACACTGCGAGTAGGATAAATCTGGAGTAAAAAAGGTGTAAAAATAAAAAGTTATCTGTTAGCAGGACACAATTTTCAAGCATATAGGAAATGGCTTTTGCTAATCTGAAAACGTACTGTGGTTCTCTTTTTCACCACAAATATTTCACTGTGCAGAAATTCCGATTCCACATGTCACAAAACAAATAGAAACAGGATTTTGTTGGTCCAAGGTCCTCAAATAAATCGTTGTCTCGTACACACGGCATTAATTATTTGTCCCCAAGCATGTTGCCTGTCCAGAATTATTACTGGTTCTTTTTTCTGGTCCTGATATCTTGCCCTTGCCGTGTCTAAGCAACAATTTAACGACATATTGAAAACGTTGGAGTAAATTACAACTCAACGCGGAAATATGCAGGCTCTTGAAGAGAGAAGAAGAGAAAAGGAAGAGTCAGAAGAGGATGATCGAGATTTTGAGGATGAGGATAAAATTGGAGCGTCTAAGAGAAAGTGGTGGAAAAGGGCTCTCAGCTTGTTGATGAGAAATGAGACTGGTGAGGGCAGTGCTCATCAGCAGTTTGGGAGAGACATCGTTATGAGTGAAAGCAGAGGTACTACTTCGTTTTTGGATCGCCTTGTCATTCATCCTGATAACTGGTACGACGTTTTTCTAATTAACTTAACTTTTTTTTTCGATCTTAATGAACAATTTTTCTCATCCACTTTGTTACGAAGTTTATATGTTGTTATGTGTCTTATGTGCTGTTTCTTACTTCTTGTGCTGAGTCCCTTACCATTATGATCCTAGGATAGGCTAGGACTTCACCGAAACAAAAACGAACCATGAATTGATTTTTGTCTTTCATTTTAGAAAACGAAGTAGAAGAAAAACTGTTTTGTGTCTATTTGGACGAAGACAATGTTGGAAAGGTGAAATTTGGGAAGACGCTATGTTCTGTGAATGAACAAATACGACAATAGGTTGTAAAGGACTTTGCGGGTATACATTTTGTTTGTGCCAAAAAAGTTAAAACGCCATCCGAATCATGTGATTAGTAATTGTCATTTCACTTTTTTCTCATTAGCCATCTTTCCCTCCGGTTGAACTTGAAGTCCGTATTATTATCTATGCAAAAGTCCAGGGGAGCAAAAGAGTCCCTTTTATCTTTAACTAGTTGAAGCACGCATAGTATTCAGTACTAGTACTAGAGATGTCAAACGTGCCGGGCCGGTACGGCACGTCTGACCCATGCCCTTGCGGGTTTGGGCTGTGCCTGGCACAGTTCTGCACAAGTACAGGGCCGTGCCGGGGCCAGTTCTGAAGAAAAAATCTCAGGCTCGTGGCCCTAGTCCATAAGGGCTAGGGCCGGGCTTGGGCCTAGGTCTGGCCCCGGCCATTGTAATTTTTTTCCAAAATTTAATTAAAAAAATATATATCATATGCTCCCAAAAGATGTGATTTTATTGAATTGAGATAATATGAATAAGTACACATAAATGACTGCCTTGTTAAAAATCTTCCCAAGTAAAACCCGTAAAGAGATCGTGACAAAACTTTAGCTAAGGAAAAAAGAGTGCAGTAGGAATAGGAAATTACAAACTTAAGTGCTTTTAGAAGATTATGTTATTTCTAAGTTAGAAAAATAGTCTTGCATTGAATCATCCGTGTATTGTTGTTTTCATCTTCTGACATCTTCTTAGTTTTTATGCATTATGCTTCTCTTCTCGTCAAGAATTCGTTTGCTTGCACTAATGCTTGCTCCGATGCTACCGTTGACACTTGAGTTGTTAGAATGTTATGAGCTATTACGGACAGTGTTGAAAAATGATTAGTCTTGCTCTTCCACCACTATAAGATGTCTAGTTTGTCATCATCGATTACAAAATTTGCTTCAAAATATTTTACTAGTCCGGTAGACGCTTGTATTGATGACAATCCTGCCGTTTTCTCTTTCTTCCTCAAGAAACTTCACGACGATCCTTTAGGTCCCGAACTGTTAGTTGACGTCGAAGTTCCATGTTCTTTTTAACCTGTGCTGTATTTTACTTCATACAAACTAAATACCTTTTCTAACATTTTCTTAGTGTCAGTAATAGTTAGTTGCATATCAATTCTTAAATTTTCTGCTGTAGTAGTCATAAAGATTCAGTCTTATTTACTCTGCACCTAGGATCTAAAATGGTTGCTAATGCATATAACATAGGACGACCAGACCAATACTTTTAAATTTAGTTTCCATTAGCTTAACTATGTCTCTAAAAAGTACTGTATCCCTATAATAAGAAAATATTTCTGAAATATTAAATAGTTGATGTAAAACTAAATGTGGAGTAGGATAATAAACTCTAGAAAGTAATTCAATAGCATTGTAAAAAACTTCTAGAAATTTAAAAAAAATACTCACCAATCTGCCAATTTGTATCGAAAATTAAAAGTTGATCGTTATTACTGTTTACATACGTTGTGATGAGCTTTGAATACGGGAGTGTAGCCTTCAACATTAAATAGGTAGAATTCCACCTATGTCTCACGTCTGTTGGAAACTTTCTTAGACGCATATGACTATTCCTGCAATATTATTTGAATTCTTGGAGCCGAGCTCCAAAATTAGATGTGAAGGATAAAGATTCTTTAATATTTGTTAGATTAGCTGAAATATTTTCAATTATTGCCTGAACTACTAAATTGATTATGTGACACGCACACCATTGATGAAAAATTTCCCTCTCAAATGCTGGTTTCAAACTACACTTAAACATGTTAATTGCAGCCTGTTAGCTGACTCAGTGTCAAAACTAATAGTTAAAACTTTATCTTCTATCCCATAAAACCTAAAAATTTTCATTATTGTACTAAAAATAGCTGATGCCTTATAAGGATATGGACATAAACAAAAACCTATTGTATTTTTTTTATAAAATTCATTCGTCATCAACATAATGCGCCGTGATGTATAAATATTCAGTTTTATTGCACCCCTCCCATAGATCAGAAATACAAGATACAATAGTATTAAAAGTCATAAAATTATCAACAAGAAATTATCTCATTGCATAAAACACTTTCATGCAATCAGAACGAGTTGTGTTTCTACTTACCCGTTTAAATTGTGGACATAAGGCCGTCTGTATGAATTCTTCGAACGATGCATCATCTGCAAAAGAAAGAGGCAATTCGGCACTAGATAGAAATTTAGCTAGTGCCTCATGAGCACGTTGTGCATCGTATGTAAAATTTTGCAACCCCTGTGATGTGAGTGATAGTGTTTGTTGGCAGGAGTCCATACTCCTACCTTGGTGCAACGGTAGACATACTTTCCAATGTCTATCCAGATAACCAATACCCCCACCATTTTTATTAGAAAAATATTTTTTACAATACTTACATACCGCACGAATTTCCATTTCACCTGTTTTTGGATTTGGTCGGGGCTCCTCTATGAAATGCTGCCATGCAGGAGAAGTTCGTGGTCTTTTTCCCCTAGTGCGTTCTCTAACTTCCTCGTTGTGCACTGAAGCATTATCTACCGGAGCATTTTCTGATTCAGTGGGGGTGGGGTTGGGAGGCATCATTTCATCCTCAAAAAATGGCTCATCACCAAGCTTAGGAAGAGCAGTGAAATCAGGGAAGTTTGATGCGACCATTTTCTGGAAATTGATTGAACTTAAACTTTGTAAATGAAAGAGCAAGAAAATGAGTGATCGCAAGAAAAAAGCTTAGAATCAAAATCAAATAAACAAGATGAGAGATAGAATGAGAGTGAGATGAAAAGTTGAGAGTGAATTATTGTGTGGGATTTATGGTGAAATTAAAGGGTATTTATAGGGGATTTTTTGGGGGTTTTCAGATTGTGACCTTTGGGCCTTTCACGGGCCCAATGGTTGGCCCGTGACGGGCCTAATGGAAGGCCCGTCAGGGGCCGACTGTTGGGCCCCCGAAGGGCCCAACGGTCACAATCCGAACGGGCTTTAGGATGTTTCGCGGGCCGTTTTGAGGGCCTGGGCCAGGCCAAACAAGGGCCGAATCTGGGCTTGGGTTGAATTGGGCTTGGGCCGGGCCGTGGGCCTTCACGGGCTAGGGCTGGGCTTGCGCTGCAGGCTGAGAAGCTGAGGCCCAGCCTTAGCCCATCAAATGTGCCGGGCTGACACAGCCCGTAATAGTACCGTACCGGACCGTGCCGAATTCGGCACTATTACAGGCTGGGCCGGGCCGTCCATGGACGGCCTGGCCCATTTGACAACTCTATTCAGTACATTATGTTTTTTTAGATATACATTTAAAAAAAAGAAATATTAACAATAAGAAAAAATGTTTAGTCAATATTTGATATAAGTTATCTAAATAAGAGCATATTAAGGAGTGGGGGAGTTTAATAAGGTGCAATTAAAAAACATAAAATTTAAAAATCTAACAACACATAAAAGAGCCAAAGCTTTTCTGGTAGCTCCTCCACTTATCTTTTTTTAAAATTTTTTTTTGTTTCTTTTGTGTTTTTTAAAAATATATTGTTCTTCACTTTACTCCTATGAGAGTAATTTTTTTGCATTTGTTCCTATTTTATTTTAGTTAGTTAAAATAATTTTCTTCAAAGAATAAAGCTAAGGACACTAACTCAAATCCTAACTATTGTGTGCTAACTGATGTGGTATGTGAGTTATCATTATTTTATTAGTAGATGTTTAAAACTGAAAGGTCTGTTTTTTACGCAGGCGTTCTAGAGAGTGTTATAACACTTTCTATAACACTGATGATTAACTATAATGATTATGTGCAGAAACGTCAAAGTAATCAAGTAAGAAATAATAATATAGAAACATAAAGAACACCAGGAATTGATATCGCAGTTTGGTGTGCATACCTATATCTGCGGGCCACGCCCAAACAGTGAATAATCCACTAAGTCTCAAGATTACAAACATCAACCAGACTTATACACCTAAAGACTCCCTCTTTGATGTTGCTGCTGCCGTGTCGAATCTCCTTAATGACCTTGTCTAGCAAGTACAACTCGTCTTCAAACTGCACGGTGAAATCCCATCGGCTGACTTCTAATCATTCTCCCGAAGGACGAAATCAATGAACACTCTTGAAGGCTCACAAATGCATAGACTTTTTCTGAATATTTCACTGTAAAACCATGGTCAAAAGTGAGCTGAAATAAAACCTTAATATAAAGTTCCAATCTTTCACACATATTTTCCTCATCGATTTTCTACCAAGGAATTTCCATGCTTTTCTCTCAACAATTTTGTATCTTATCACCTTATTGAATTTGGTCTCAAATACCAATTAGGTTCAGATTCTCTTTTCCCATTTTGGTGGTCAACTAAATTCCAACTCACGGATTGATATGATTTCTACCACACCAACTAAGGACTCTCCCATGCAAGGTAGGTCTCCAATAATCAACTCATTAAGACAATCAATCTAATATTCTTTCCTCAAATATCTCTCTCATCAAATGTACATTTGTCTTCATGATTGTCCAAAATCTCTTCATGATAGGCTCAAAAGTATCAAATCCTGATTGTACCTATTTTTGAACTTTTACAACTAATTGTCAATAAATTACCAACTAATAAAAATTATGACAAAAACATTGTCATGTCATTACTCTTCTTTAAATGTGTCCCTACTTTATTTTTTTTATCAATTGTTATCTTTAAACACATTTCTTTTTAAAATAAATTCAAAAATTCTTAAATGGTATAAATAAATTTCTCATTAGTCGGTAAACAATAAACTTTCTAGGTATCTCTAACATAACAATACGTGCGGAGCATGTTATAAAACTAGTAAAATAAAAAAAAAAACAAAGGATTAAATTGCATGTTTCAATTAAAACATGCATTTTAATTAAATAAATGTGTGTGTGAAAATAATATTTGAATAGGGACATATACGAGAGAAATTATATGAATATAGGTAAATAACATGTTTAGTATTTACGAGACAAATAACAGCACATGCCGCTAAACAAAATGTGCAAGTGATAAGATATTTGAGAACAATTACTTATAGTAGGGCAATTAGAAAAAAAAATATATATATATATATATTTATATTTATGAGGATTTCTTATGAGAAAAATATTAATTTAAAGTATCATATGAAAAACATAATATATAAATAGGACTCATTTGAGAAAGAATATTTTCACGTCATCAAATTAGGTAAAGGCATTTTAATAAATTATGATTAAAACATAAAATCTTTTTTTTTAACGAGACGAATAGAACATTTCAACCATGTTATTTTCACATATTTTGATGAAAAACTTTAAATAAAATTTAATTTTTATTAAAAAATACTATAATAAAAAGATTAATTTATTATTCAAACTGTAAAAAGAAAAGAGCATTTATAAAATAAAAAATAATAAGAATAACAAAAAATTTCTGTCAAATAAAATAAAAAAGTATAAAATAAAAGTAAGCAAAAAAGCAAATGAATTGAAATGCGCGTTCCACTTAAAACATCTGTTTTGATGAAATATGCGCGCGCGCGGTTCTATGTGTGAGAGAGAGAGAGAGATAGTACAATTGGAGTAACAGGAGTATCTCAGAAAAGCAAATTAAAAAACAATTAAAGTATATTGCTGTTCATTTCGCCGATTCAAGTTTAGAATTTGAGTTTTGTTACAGTAAAAAGTTCTCAAAAATAATCACATCTAACTTTTTTACTATAGTAAAAACCTCTCACATAAAGTCATATCTCAATTCGAATTAAAAACTCGAATTAACGAAATGAACGGGCCGTTTTTAATTAAAAAAAACTTAAGGGATATATTTAAAAGAAATTATTTTAATTAAAAAACTATTTTAGAGGATTTTATTGTGAAAAAAAAATGAAGTGTCAAAAATATTTAAGAGAAAACAAATAATAAGCAAAAAATAAATAAGGAAAATAGAAAAAAGTTAAAGAAAAGGAAAAAAAGAGAGAAAGTTTGGGCCGTTCAGTTCGTTGATTCGAGTTTTTAATTCGAGTTGAGACGTGACTTTATGTGAGAGCTTTTTACTGTAGCAAAAAAAGTTAGATGTGATTGTTTCTGAGAGCATTTTACTGTAACAAAACTTGAATTTTAAACTCGAATCGGTGAAATAAATGAGACATTTATTTGTTTTTTTGTTTTTTTTCAAAGAATGAAAAATAGGACACATACTGCATCTTTAAAAGCCAAGTTCAAAGGGGACTTGCTCTTTTGATTATATACAAGTAAAAGATTAATGTTATGTTTAATAGGAGGAATGTAAAATAAAAGTATAAGTAAAATAGTTAGGTGAATGAAGTAAAATAATAAAAATGAGGTTTTCTTTCATGTTGTTTAGTAATGATGAATAATTTAAGGTTACAATAGTTATTTTATATCAATTTTACTTGTTAATTTTTTTCGTTCTTATTTTCTTCTTAAAGTTGAAAGGAATGAAAAATTATGGACCCTATGAATTTACAACTTTCTTCCCCATTTCTTTCTTACTAAACAACCTAATTTTTTTTTTCTCTTTAAAATCGTTCTTTCAATTTCTTTCCTCTCCCGGAAAAAAATTCACAAAATAAAATATAAAACATTAAAAGTAAAAAATAAAGACAAAAAAAAAAGAGATAGATGAGGGGTTGTTACGTCGCACCGCCTGGTGATCGTTTTACCATGAGCTCGTGACAGTTCGGATCCCACTCACTTTTGGCGGCAATTAGACAACATTTTGGCCCTGTTTGGTTTACTTGTGAGTAACTGGAAAAGAAAATTGTGGAAACTAAGAGCTCGTTTAGTTAGAGGATTCATTCTCTGATTTGAATCATAATTTATAATTTTTTACAATATTTTTTCTCATAAAAAATAAACGTGAATAAAATATGATACTAATATTATAGTTTTAATCCATGAAACGCGTCTAAGAAAAAAGAGAATGTGATTGTGCCCGCAGGTGGTACGTGGCGTGGACGCATTTCATACTGATATGGGCGGTGTACTCGTCGTTCTTCACTCCTCTGGAGTTCGGCTTCTTCCGTGGCCTACCGGAGGACCTCTTCCTCCTCGACATCGCGGGCCAATTCGCCTTTCTCGTCGACATCTTCGTCCGCTTCTTCGTCGCCTACCGCGACTTCCACTCCCATCGCATGGTCTACGACCGCAACCTCATCGCTCTAAGGTCCCAATCCATTTTCAAAACTCAAATTCCTTTTCTGCCTTTTTCAATCTCTCTCTAATGTTCTTGTTAGATCTGCATTTTTTCAGGTACATGAAGTCTCGCTTCACCGTTGATATGCTCGGTTGTCTACCTTGGGATGCTATCTTCAAGGTATTTAGCTTTGATTTCACATTGGTACTTTCTTAGTTGCAACAAGTGAATATTTAAATTGAATTAAGACTTGCATTTCCCAATGGTGTATATTTTGTGGAAATTTTTTTTTTTTTTTCACTATGTACTCGAGAGTGGACAACGGACTTCTGACTTTCACTTTGACAAACCGGACTCTTTTAAGTTTGAAAATTCGTTACGATTGTGGCTTAGTATCTAGCAAACGTCAAGTAAGAGATAAAGATCAAATACACCTAAAATTTTGAGTTGAGTGGCAAGTTGGATATTTACACACGCGCACACACGTAATTTTTCATTTTCTTTTTAAAAAAGATTTTGGCATTTGTAATCCTGATCGCCATCCACTAAGTGACGTTCATTACCGATTAGATTGCATTACCAAAACTTGTCAAGTATATGGTCCTAAATACCAAAATTTAATGTTTGTGGTCCTACCTCGCAAATGACTAAAAGTTCAATATGCATTGGTGAAATTTACATTTTAATGTCTGTCAACTGCGAAGATATAATCGTTAAGCTTTGCAGAAATTCTAATAGTCTTAAGCATTTGTATTTTGTTTTTGGGTTTTCAGTGTTCGATGTATATGGAAAATTCTTCTTTTCAAATATAATAGTTTGGAATCTAATAGTTCTTAGTTTTGTTAGTCAATACCAATTTCAATCAATTTGACCTACTGTGTCACCAGTATCTTCAGTTTTGTTTTCTTCTTCATTCTCAGCCATTGGAGTTTTACATTATAATTGTTATTTTTTTGAGTTAATTGAAATTTGTCTGAATTCTCAAGCACTTAATTGCTTTGATTAATATCAGAGATATAAATTTCTGTTGGCCTTCCTTATAGTTTATGTGGGTATAATAACCAGTTATCTCAGCACTTAAATGCTGATTTCAACCCACCCGTGTTTTTCCAGGCTTCTGGGAAAAAAGAGCCGGTAAGGTACTTGTTATGGATTAGACTAAGTCGAGCCTGTAGAGTCACAGAGTTTTTCGAGAAATTGGAAAAGGATATCCGGATGAATTACCTGTTTACGAGGATTACGAAGCTTTTTGTGGTTGAACTCTACTGCACGCATACTGCTGCATGCCTCTTTTATTATCTTGCTACCACTGTGCCTCGTTCTCAAGAAGGATACACATGGATAGGAAGTTTGAAGATGGGTGACTATAGCTATTCAAACTTTAGAGATATTGATCTGTGGAAGCGTTACATAACCTCACTCTATTTCTCCATTGTTACCATGGCGACAGTCGGTAAGCTTCTTCTAAATATGCTTGAGGTTACATTTAATTGTGCTATCTATTTATTTATATCTTCAATGATTGATTGTTAAAATGTTGTTTCTAAGACACAGATCTAGCCGACTGCATTATAACTAACAGGGAGGACTGTCATTGGATTGCACTTAGGCTTTGGTGTGAAATTTGATCGAACACAATGCATTGATGCCGATGCAAAGTAGGAATCTTGTCGTCTTGGCTGTCACAATAGAGCTATGTTAAACCATTATCCCATATCCATATCTGTGATTAAGGAAAATGTTATATCTTAGCCATTCCTTCGTTCTGGTTGCATCATAAGGAGCAAATGTTGGTGATCTTGTCGAGAAGAAAGCGCTAATTCTTGTTTAGGGCTAAAGACAATAGTGCATTTATAATTTTCAAAATATTGAATTGAATGTATCCATAATGACTTGGCTTTGTTAAATGTTTTTACTTGCCCTGAATAATGGTACTATGACTTATACTTGTGATTAGCCCTGTAGCATATGATCTTAGAATTTAGATAGGTGAATGGCCAAAACAACTATTTAGAAGAACACATAATTACATGCTTCTATAATGAGAATAGTTTTATATAGAATTATTCTCATTATAGAAGCATGCAACTACAATAGATGACAATAGTTGTATTATCAAAAAAAGAAAATAAAAACAAATGATGACAATAGTTGTGAAGAGGCACTTGCCATTTTTGTTCAATACTCTGCATTCACCTCTCTGTTCTATGAGATAATGAGATAGAAACATAATAATCATGAACAACATAGAATTGGTTTTTTTAGCACTTAACTCAGTTCTCTCTCCCAACCACCAACTAGCTGTACATGTTCGTTAGAAAGGACACTGCAGTTATTTGCCAGGGAAGCTGATCGGACAACAGGTTAACTTCGGTGAAGATGGATTGTTGTTCAGTACATTTGCTTGTATTAGCTGTCAATATTTTGCTATAGATTGCGGAGTAATAAAAGTTTGCGAAAGAAAATGGGGCTAAGGAAAATTAACTTTAGTGATTTGCTTTGGAGCAGACCTCTCCTACATGTTAGGCAGAGTACTCATCATAAATCTTGGTTCATTTTCTTCTCTCTTCTATTGATCGCATTAGCCTAGAATTTATGTAGCTGAAAGAAAATAGCTAAAAGCACGCAAGTGAGTAACCTCATGCATGATTTGTGAAATCAAACTTGGCCAAGCAAAAATGTGAATAAGTATAAATTATTGCTAAGTGTCGTCATTATTCCATTTGGCGTCAACTTGTTGAAACTATATATGTAGTCGTTTATAGGCTGCACTGGAGGTTGATACAGTGATTCTACTACCTTTCTTCACCCTCAGTTAAGGATACCATTTTTAAGAGGATATTATGCACTGAAAGAAAGAAGTGAATTCGTTCTGGGCACTTCTAAGGAGTTTAAGGATTCAAATCTTTTCTTTTATGTTTGAATTGGACGGGCATATCGTATATGGAGTCTTCAGTTCTATTTGTGTTCTTTGCTATTTTAAGGGATCTGTTTTGTCTTTTGTTAAATAGGCTTTGTTTTTCATATTAGAGTACGATTTCCTCTCTGGTTACTATACTTTTTTGTTTCTTTTGGTAAATTCTTTTGTCTTATAAAAATAATAATAATAAAATAAATTTTAATTCTTGGAGATTTTGATGGAAGAGGAGTTGCAGGGGTTTCTGGGTAAGAGCCACTACTTTAGGTGACTGGTATAGTCTTCCTTAGTTCATACCTTTATTGCTTTCCAAGTTGTTACCTATCCTGAATTTTTACTTTAATTAGTTTGCATCCTTAAAATTTAGTTTATGCCCCGTTTTGAAGTTCTTTTAATTCTCTTCATTACTCACTCCCTCTTCCTCTTGCTTACATTCTTTTTACGCCTTTACTAGAATATGTGAAACTGGCTTGCTTCTTTTAAAACCCTCCAAGTAAAAGTAATGTTGACTAAGAAAATGATGGCTTCTTAAATTAAATTATTGCCAGCAGATATATAGATCCATAGTCATGTTAAGAGAATATGCACATTATGAGTTGATCTCTAATTTATTTTCCGCTATCAGTCATAATGGTTTTCTGTTCCTCATTTTCATGTTATAGATTGATCCATACATTTTTGTGTGATTAAGTAATTATTTTGATCCTTCATTTTCTTTTTTGTTGCTTGAATTAAAGTTTTTTCTTCTTCTTCTCTCTCTCTCTCTCTCTCTCTATGTGCTTGATTTAAAATTGAGATGCGCTCTTACATTCTTTTCATGTAATAAATGTTTTGTTTGCCTTATAATGGAAAAGTTCTAATAAACTTTTTCACATATTCACGGTGTTATGGGTTTCTTTTCCTTATTTCTACAGGCTATGGAGATGTACATGCTGTGAATGTCAGGGAAATGATTTTCATAATGGTTTATGTTTCTCTAGACATGATTCTCGGTGCCTATTTACTTGGTAACATTGCAGCACTAGTAGTGAAAGGCTCAAACACGGAAAAGTTTAGAGATAAGGTGACTGAGCTTATCAAATACATGAACAGAAACAAACTCGACAAGAAAATAAGTAAGAAAATTAAAGACCATCTACGATTACAATTTGATCGCAGCTACACTGAGGCTTCTGTTCTTAAGGATATTCCAGTATCTATTCAAAACAAGGTATCTGCGTTTCTATTTTATTCAATCATCTTCTTTCCTTGATTGGGAGACTGAAAACAATAAATAGGATCTCGTTTACCCTAATTACAATATTCCAAAAACAAAAGAATTGGGGAAAAGAATCAGATTTCCGTTTAAGAAGAAGGAGAAGGAGAAGAAGAAGAAGAAGAAGAAGAAGAATAAAGGGGAGAAGCAGAAAGAGCTAAATATCATTTTCTTCTTTAATATTTTTGTTAAATAACATATTTTAAAATATTTATGTTGAAAACATATTTACCGTACGGTAAGTTTACCTATTTATTGAAAACATATGTACGGTAAGTTTACCTTGTAAATTTGCTTCGTAAATGAATCATTTGTCGTAGATATATACTATTTACCATAAATATTTAATTTATATATATATATATATATTTTTTTTTTAAATGACCTATACGCTGTAATTTCCCAGTTAAAAATGGTTTTGGTCTTGGCAACCCAACCAGTTTTTGTGGTTCATGACACAGTGGTCACCTTTGTGATCCATTGCGACCATCTTGGGTTGTGACCATGGTGGTCGCAAGTTGCGATCCGTGGTGGAGAGCCAATGATCCACTTTTTTTCCATATATTGTTTATGTTTTTTCTTTTTCTAATGAAAATTTCTTTTTTTATTTTTAAAGAAATAGTTAGAAATACAATTTTTATTTTTAAATAAATATTTATGGGTTAGGTGGGTATTTTAAGATTTTTTTTATTACTACTACTGGATATTAGACTAATAGTTTTAGTCAACTAATCGACATCAAAGGACAGGGTGATTTTCATGTGATTTGTAAAACTGAGGGTTCTTTTTAAAACACAGGTAGAAACCTGCATTTCAATACAATAAGAGATATTTTTGTAATTATTCCTTTTTGCTTAGGTGAAAAATGGTCCTACAAAATAGGCTCCGTAGACTCATCCTTGTCGTTCTGTTGTTTATAGAATGATTCATGCTGAAATTTATGCTTGCTAAGATAATCAGTTGGATATATTTATTTTTTTCGGGGATACTTGTCGTTCTTTCTGAACTTGTTTGTTTTATTTCTACATTAATATTTTTGTGTTGCCATATTGTGTCTCCATATTGAAATATATTGTTTCTTGTTGGCAGGTTTCACAGAACTTATATGAGTCGTATATTAAAGAAGTTCCTCTTTTCAGAGGCTGCTCCTCTGGATTCATAAAACAAATTGTGAGCCATTTTTTCCAATATGTCATTTAGTTTTCAGATTATCAAGGTTAGGCGATGATATCACTTTTTATCTTACATACTAATGACATATGTATGTAGCCTGATCATTTTTGAGTACCTATTATTGGGCTTGATTGAGGCTATAGTATATATATTTATTGTTTGCTGAATGCAATATCCTAAAATCTCAACGAAGAAAAGAGGCAATCCTGTGAAGGTTAAGGGGATAAATATGAGTGTAAAAAGAGGTAAGGGACTGTTTTATTTTAAGTTGCTTTGATTGAAAATTAGTTGATTGATTTAACTATTGGTCCAGTATTTTTTTTTTTTATTTGATGTAATGAACAAAGGTACAAATGTCATGTGTAGACATTTGTCATCTATATGTCATAGTAGTTTGATCTTTCTGTTTGTTGTCATTATCAAACACACCATTTATGTATAGTCTTAAATGAGTGTAAGAACCTTAAGCTTCCTTCTGTTAAAACAAAACTTGCCTTTTCTTATGGTTTAACAGGCAATCAGTGTTCATGAGGAGTTTTTCCTTCCAGGAGAAGTGATTGTAGAACAGGGAAACGTACTAGATCAACTTTATGTTGTATGCCATGGTTTGCTGGTATGAAATTCATTTTTCCCCCTTCTATTATCACCAGTACATCTTATAACACTTCTTATGTATTTGCATTGCAGCGTCTCCTTTTTGCTTGATATTTGTTTTTTTTTTGTCCTGAAATAATTCTGTGTTTGGGAAAGGTTCTTTGTTCGAATGTCTCATTAAATTGCACAATATACTAAATGATGGATCTTGGTGTTGTAGTAGTAAAGAAGACAACCTTTTTCAATTAATTCATATCACTTAAGATAGATGTCCTCCCCACATTCCTTTATTTATTTATTTATCTTTTTTTATAATTACCGCATTCCTGTTGTGATTTATTAGCAATTTTTGTCTAGAAAGCTGTGCACTTTATCCAATGAATATAAATTTGGCTGGTTCCATTACCACATATTTTTCAACAATCAAAATCAAGTACTGTTTACTGTTTAGAAAATTTATTACTTTTATCAATCTTATAGGCAATCTTTAACTTTTCATTGCGGGCGCTGAAAATATCATAGTGGGGAGTAGTTGAAACTAATAAAAAACTTTTAAAAAAAAATGCTTTGCTTTATGGTTACCTTGATTTTTTTCCTTATCTTGTTGTTTGATGATGCCTACAGGATGAGGTTGGAAAGGGTGAAGGTGATGAAACAGAAGAGTTCTATACAAAGCTGCAAACTTATAGTTCCTTTGGCGAGGTTTCTTTTCTATGCAACACTCCTCAGCGCTATACTATTGTGGTTCGTGAGCTGTGTAGAGTTTTGAGACTTGATAAAGAATCCTTTACAAAAATCCTGAACATATACTTTTTGGATGGGAGGAACATCTTGAACAACCTCCTCGAGGTAAATTACTATTCTTCTTTTTCTCTTACGGCCTTTTGACCATTATTTTCCTGTATTTGTAATGGTTGCAATATCGTGAGATTGAATAAATAAGTTGCTTGCCTTCTCATTGAGAGAGAACAAAAAAAAAAAAAAAAAAAAAAAAAAAAGAAGGAAAGAAAGAAAAGTTATCTACTGGATATTTCAAATTTGATTGAGTCAGCACCACTATAATACTTTTCTCAAATGGCAGGGGAAAGACGCGAGTATTTGTAAGAAGCTTCTGGAATCAGACATCACACTCTACATTGGAATTCATGAACTGGAATTGGCTACTAGGGTTAACTGTGCTGCCCATTCTGGAGACCTTTATCGAGTAAAGCGCTTGGTTGAAGCTGGGGCAGATCTAAACAAAACAGATTATGATGGTAGATCTGCTTTGGTAAGGAACGGTGCTTTTTTATGTATATGATGATAGACGAAAACATATAAATATGCATGTATATACCAAAATTAAAAAGGTATTTTTCTTCTCTTTTTCCTAGCATGTTGCTGCATCTAAAGGATATGGAGATATTACTGAATTCCTTATTGAAGGAGGAATCCATATCAATATATCAGGTGATCTTCTAGAATAGTTAAATTGGTATGCTTGCCCTGGTTAGTTTTAAAAGTAATTTTTTGTTTTGTTTCTTGAGGGTATCTCATCCTTTTCCCTTCTCATTGATAATATTATCAATGGAAGGAGTTTTTCTTATATACAACAACAACAAATACAAGCCTTAATCCCAAATTAATTAGGGCCGGCTATATGGATTTCTCGTTTTCAGTCTGCTCTATTAAACACGAGACCCTCCTGAAGTCGTAGATCTTGAAAGTCGTGCCTACCTACGTCAGCCGTAGTAATTCTTGGTCCACCCTTCGCTCTCCTAGTACTATGTATTTGGATGTTCTCCCAAGCACGAACAGGTGCATCTAATGATCTACGTTGTACATGCCCGTACCACCTCAGACGGTTTTCCCGCACCTCATCTTCTATTGGTGCTACACCTACTTTACTACGAATAACTTCATTCCGTATGCGATCCATCCTCTTATGGCCACTCATCCATCTTAACATATGCATCTCCACCACACTCATCTTGTATATTTGTTGTCTCTTGATGGCCTAACATTTACTACCATATAACATAGCTTGGCGAATTGTTGTCCTATAGAATTTTCCTTTCAACTCAATAGGCATCTTATCATCACATAAAACTCCCGTGGCATTCTTCCATGTAATCCACCCCGCCTTAATCCTATGTCCAATATCCTCATCTATATCCCCTTCACACTGCACTATGGACCCAAAGTACCTAAATTTCCTAAAAGCCCCAATCACCACACCATTCAAAGAAATTCTATCACTCTGATCTCTCAAATTACTAAACCTACAATGCATGTACTCAGTCTTCATTCTACTTAACTTAAATCCCTTCGTCTTAAGGGTCTGTCTCCATAATTTTAACTTACGGTTAATTCCCTCCCGATGTTCATAAACTAAAACTTTATCGTCTGCAAAAAGCATACACAAAGGAATCCCATCTTGAATTTCTCTTGTTAGCTCGTCCATCACGATAGTGAAAAGATAAGGACTAAGAGCGGAACCTTGATGAAGGCCAATCCGAATGGGAACTTTCGGATAAAAAAATAAAAAATTGAAAGTAACTTTCATAACAGAAATGGTGGACTATCTAAATAAATCAAGTAACAGAAGTTGATGGAATTGTGTGCCAGATAAGTTTGGAAACACTCCCTTACTGGAAGCTATCAAGAATGGTCATGATCAAGTAGTTTCATTGCTCACTGATGCTGGAGCTTCACTTACTATTGATGATCCTGGTAGTTTTCTATGTGATGCTGTGGCGAGAAGGGATGCGGACCTCCTTATAAGGATTTTGGACAAGGACATTAATCCAAACGCAAAGAATTATGATCACAGAACACCACTTCACATAGCTGCTTCAGAAGGGTTGTATGTAATAGCAGAACTACTATTAGACGCAGGAGCAAGTGTTTATGCAAAGGACAGGTAACAGTCTCAATTTCATTGTTTCCTTTCCCATTCCTGAAGTAGAAAAATGTCGCGATGGTGGAGAGGTTAATTTTGTTCCATGCATATTTCTTAAAACTGTCATGTCATCCTTGCTTTCTGTGGGCTTCCTCTTTGTTGAAATACAAGTCTACTTTCCCTAATGCAGTACCAACCCCACGAGCTCCTACTCATGGGTGGCTCTCGTGACGATCTATAATAGAAGTTATATAATGCTTGATACCACCAACCCCAAAATATCATTGGTTCACCGTTCTACATCATATTACCTCTACTCTTGTATGAAATCCTACTTTTCATTCTTTGGCCTGCTTTACCTGAATTTTAGCTACTGCATGCATGCAGATGGGGACATACACCGCTTGACGAAGTTCGTATAGGAGGAAACAAAAAGTTGATCAAGCTACTTGAGGTTGCAAGATCTTCTCAGTCATTGGAATTCTCCAAGTCTTCTCAGGAATTTCGAGGTACTAACGTTTATATCACTTGCACATTGCACAATCCTTGATATGAATTAGCTGCTCTATTAGATTCAGTTCTTTGTAAACTTTAGTCCAAGTCAACATACTCGGTAGGTCAGTACCTTATTTCTGAAGGATCATCCAATGTCTAGGAAAAGGGAAAGTATTGAAGAACAAAAGAAGAATAATCCACTAATACTATAGGCATTTATCGGTAGCAATAGTATTTAACTGTTGACATCTTGGAAGACTTTCTACAAATTTTCTTTTATTTCCCCCCATCGTTGGATAATCCTTATATGTATGAAATGCAGAAGTAGGTTACACACGCTATGAAACCACATGTTGATTGCAGAGCATCCCATTCATCATGGATTTGAAATATATTCGATATTTTTTCTTGATTCTTTTTTCTTTGGAATCTTGTTCAACGTTAGTGATTTTGGCCAAAGATTTGTTAGATTATAATAGAACTTCTTGAATAGAAAGTGTTTCAAGAAGGACCCAGAATATTGTGATTAAACTCAAAAATATGGATACATAACTGACCACCATTTCCGCTCCACGTTTGTTTCCATCATATGGCCCAAAATGTTTTCCTTTAATCTTAGCCAAACTATTATTTTTCTTCAGTTGCTTTCTGAAATTTAGGCTCTTGTTCTTTTAATTCGTTGACAGTCATTCTGTTTTCCAATAACAGATGATGCAGAATTGAGAAACGCATAGCATTCTCTTCAATTCATTGGATTCTAAAAGATAAGAGGAGTTGTTCATGAGCTCTTCAAAGCATTCAAGCGCTAATCAAGACAGCAGTGTAGCAACTAAAATCGTCGAGCGGCTTTTATCCTGAGATGGTGGTCCGAGTCCTTAGCATCAATGTGATTAAAGAATCAACAAACAATTATGGTTGTTGAAGACAAAATGGGTAGGTTTCTTTAAGTTATATGCGGTACTGGACTTGCTATAAGGAGGGTGGTTATTTATTGCCTCCTAATTTGGTTATGTTCATAACTAAACAAATCCATCTAAATGCTGAGAAATTATTCAATAGACCAGGTGTATGGTGTATCATGTCATTTTGCTTATGTGCTATACTTGACCAATAAAAAATTCATATTTTGATGTTTCAAAAATAAAAAAAGAAGTTAATATTTTGATGATGTGTTAATGTTAACTTTAAGTAATTACATTTACCTCTATTATCACTTTTGAAAGATGCGTTAACCAAACTTTGACCGAGAGTAAAATGACCCTTATAAATTAGAATTAGCCTTGAGAGTTTTGTTTCTTGTATTAAGATGAGTCTACTGGTGAAGAAACGTCAAAATCGACGTCGGGATAAAAATGTCAAAAGTCCCTTCTTTAGGGGCAAAATCATAATTTTAGGAAAATTTATGGCTCAACCTGTCAAGAGGATGCCAGAGCCTTACTGAGGCAGCAAAGGACTTCGGAAGTCGAAATTAGAAGCCATTGGTCACCTAGAAAGCCGTTAGGAGCAAAAAAATAATTTTGACTGCAAAAGGATAAAATAGTTAAATGGACATCGAGCCTTGAGTTTTGGCTCATAATCCACCAGGGCAGAACGTTTCCCATAGTATTTAAATTATATATTCCTGTGACATGATTATAATCATATGTTCACCTAAATAAGATGTTAAGGTAAAGAGATTAACTTAAGTGTCGTACTAGATCTCAGAAGTTGAATGGGAGGGTAATTACCCTCAGACTTCTAATGGGAGATTTATAACTGATAAAATTCATTATGACTGTGGCGTAGTCAGACTTGGTACGAGCTTATGGTCCTAATGATAATAAATGGATATTTCATAATTGAGCATAATTTGACATGCATTCTCTTAGGATGTTTTGCGTGAAAAATATTTTGTGAGGATATTTGTACTCATCAAGCATTAACTTGCTGTGTTGTTCATGTTGAAGGTATAACGGGTTAAATTGCGCACCTCAGATTTTTTGATGGATTGGCTATCTGACGCAGGTTGATGGGGGCAATGATATTGGATACCACTACGCAAATAATTTCTGTACTAAAAGTATTTTTCCCACTAGGATATATGTTAAGTTCTGAAAGTTTGAAGTTTAAGTTATTTACTTAGATTAAAAATGTCTCACTTAGAAATATGTATATGATTTTTGAAAGTTGAGAAATTTTCATAAGGAAATTAGAATGTAACTTATTAATTGGGTAACCTAAAGTTTATTATTTATAGTATTTGCTCTTAAAAGATTAAATTTGTAAATTAAAATAACTATTGATTATAAAATAATGATATACTTGTTGTAGCATTATAAGCACATGAAATTAACTTTTGAAGTTATAGTTACTCAGATAAATAAGTCGCCTATAAATAAGTCGTCTCTAATATACGGTCTAAGTTTATTTCCCCATATCATAGGTAAGAAGTACAATGATATGGAGTTATATTAATAATTTGAAAGTTCTAAAACTTGAATTTATACATTTGTATTTATTTTGGGGTTTTGGAAGTCTCTAAGTGTTGAGGAAAAATAAACTGAAACAAAAATAACAAAAAAATAGAGAAGACAAATATTTTCATGGGTCAAAAAAATTTTCTATGTCCTCGAGAAAAAAAGAAAAATTTACTAACAGTTTCAGAATTACAAGCAACAAATTTGTTTAGTTTCTCTCTTTACCCAGAATCCTTTACACCCTTGCATATCTCTCCTCTCTCTCTCTCAATAAGTGGAGGGAAAAAAAACATACAAGGATTCCCTAGTCAGAAATGCCTAGGTTGAGATCGAGCGCCCTCGATGCTTGAATTGTAGTCTGAAGAAGCGTCTTCGACAGCAAACCTGGCCCAAGTCCCCTGGAAGGGGGCGCCGGAGAGGGTGAGAGTCTTATCATGCTTGGACCCTGTCGCACCACGAGGCACTGTCGGCGAGTCAGGTTGTTTGGGAATGTAGCCCCAATTAGGCGGTAAATTCTGTCCAAGGCTAAATATTTGGGAGATACTAATAGCAACCAAATACTGTGAGAGAAAGAGTCAAAGTGTGCTTGAAATTGTTGGTAGGGAAGCAGATGGGGTTTGGTGATGCACCCCTGTCGGATGTGGAACCGTGAGAGCTGACGACCTAAGTCCAGGTTGTTGATATGCCTGCAGAGATGTCGTTGCCGAGATCTTGTTTGTGTGAAGCTCCACACATTGATACTCCATTAATTTCAATAGACATTAAACATTCGTATATTAAAAATTTATTGGACTTAACGAAATGCAAATGAATTCGTATATGGTGAATAGTTGATGTATTAATTTGATAAATTATTAGTTTACTTTTGATATACTATTTGACAAAATTAACAAAAAAATTCAAAAATCAAACAAGTCAACTAATGTTTTTTCAAAAAATTAGAGATGTTAATTGTGCCGGCCTGGCTCGGCCCGCTCTGTTTAAATTGGGTCCAAACGTGCCTCTTGTCGTGCCTAGGCCGATCCATTTATTTATCGTGTTGTGTTGGACCCAACCCATTTACTTTTTAAGGCGTCAAGCCCGGTCGCAACCCATTTATATGTGGGCTGTATCCTTTGTGACGACCCTCCTATGAGGCCGCCACTGTAACTTACTTAAACTTTAACTTGTACTTACTGGGGTTTCTTAAAATTTGCGGAACATTTTTTTTTTTTTATATAAGAAAGAATACTTTCATAATTTGTAACAATAATTTCAAATAAGTGAATCACTAAATTTCTTAAAGCTTTTCTTAATTTCAGTTAAGATAAAACGTTCTAAAAATATCTTTCAAACAGAGCAGCATTTGAACTCTTATTTCAAATGCTCTTTAAAAGTCTTTCTAAAACTAGCCAATTCAATCGGGCCATTTAATTTTGACTTTAAAACGGATTTCGTGAGAAATCTTAAATTCAAGTACATCTTAAAGCCCTTTTAAAATCAATCATTTAAATCGTCATGTTTAAAATTTATTTATTTGTTGCATGCTCTGTTGCAACGTTCTAAAACTTAAATACTCAAAACGAGGGTTGTTAGCTACAACCTCGGTTTCCTTAACATACATATGTACCTATACTTTTTAAACATACATGCTTGAAACCTTTAAATCATATATACATATACATGATTTTTCTTAAACTTACTGCGGAAGATAACTGCGTGAGCGGTATCCATTCCCATCTCCACCATTCGTCCGCCGCTTGCCATTGCCCTTCAAGAATTGCTGATAGGTTTCTTACCTACA